GTGGGTGTCGTGGGTATCAGGTGTGTTGTGGGTGTCGGGGGTATCAGGGGTGTTCTGGGTGTCGGGGGTATCAGGGGTGTTCTGGGTGTCGGGGGTATCAGGGGTATTAGGGGAGTTGTACCAATGTAAATTCTGGAGTCACAGAGCTTCCCTAGAGAAGTCAACGGCAGTAGGCGGGGCATATGTGGCAGTAGGTAAGGTGTATGAGGCTGTAGGCGGGGCATACATGATGTAGGTGGTGCATATGTGGATGTAGGAGGGGCATATGTGGCTATAGGCGGGGTATGTGTGGCTATAGGCGGCGTATATACAGGAAGGGGCGGAGACAAGACCAGTCACCATGCACAAGGAGAGAGCAGCAGTGATGGGTCTTCATTACAGGAGGGGGGCGGAGACAAGACCAGTCACCCTGCACAAGGAGAGAGAGCGGCAGTGGGCGGTCTTTATTACAGGAGGGGGCGGAGACAAGACCAGTCACCCTGCACAAGGAGAGAGCGGTCTTTATTACAGGAAGTAGTGCAGAGATCTGGGAGGAAGTACACAAAGTTGACCGAGATTCCAGAAGACGACGTGGAGGTTGTGACTCCGCCCCCTTCCCTCGTATCGGTCTCATTGTATGGTGGATTCCAGAGGAGAGAACAGATACAAATGACACAGCCGGAGGGACAAAAGCTCATTGTCTGGGGGAGGGGGGTGGACAATCCCTTGAAGCACTGAGGACAACAGGCGGCTCCTCCCCCCTCCCCCGAGGCTTTCATCCCGCTGAGCCGCCACATAATAGATCCTGGGAATCTCAGGACAACAATGGCGGGAGCGGACTGTGTGCACACGTCACCCCGCAGACCATTCCTCCGCCTGAGCACATCATACGTGTGTCACAGATCATCACATGTGTACAATGTAACCACACACACCGACACCAGATCACACCGCTACAATGTAACCGCACACACCGACACCAGATCACACCGCTACAATGTAACCACACACGCCGACACCAGATCACACCGCTACAATGTAACCGCACACACCGACACCAGATCACACCGCTACAATGTAACCGCACACGCCGACACCAGATCACAATGTAACCGCGCATACCGACACCAGATCACACCGCTACAATGTAACCGCACACACCAACACCAGATCACACCGCTACAATGTAACCGCACACGCCGACACCAGATCACACCGCTACAATGTAATCGCACACACCAACACCAGATCACACCGCTACAATGTAACCACACACGCAGACACCAGATCACAACGCTACAATGTAACCACACACCCTGGGCCTGGTCACATGACCATAGTGGGGACACACCTCCCCGATGCCGCTGTCCATCCAGGTCTACGAGCAGCAGCCGAGGATCCGGGAAGACTCGTAGATCACCGGGATCATCTTCTCCTCCGCACTGAACCGGACACACAAGCGCCGGCACATTCCTGAAGAGGCCACACGCCTGGCTGTCAGGTTGATCCTCCGGCTTCAATACCATACAAGCCATCGACCCCGAGAGAAGTACACGGGATTGGAAACAATGAGACTGTGAACGTTGGACGTCTCCGTCATCTCCATCTTTGTCCCAGATCAGAGACACCGATGGAGAACGGCGTTGGCCGTCGCGGTTAGTTGAAGATCACGGTGAACTCGTGCACGTCGCCCCCTTCACTCACCCCGCGTGACGGCCACCACGCGGTTTCCTCTTGTGAAATCTCGCCCACCGCCGGCACCTCAGGAGGAAGTTCGGGGGGTAAATTTAGCGCCGAGGGTTGGATGACGGCGGAGGAACGATTGGGAAAGACGATGAAAAGAGGAAGTTGCCTTGAAGCGGAACGATGAGGAAGAATCACGTCCGCCGACGACGAGGCACAAAGATCCGCCCACTCCGGAAAAAAACGTGCCACGACGGGTCACATGACGGACGGTTTAACGCGTTTCCAAATCTGCACATTGTGGATTCCCCGCCCCTTCCTGTCACAAGAGGAAGTGAGATGAAATG